ATTCTCAGCGTAGACTCCAATTCACAGTCACGTATTAATGCGTATACTTTAATCCTGGAAAAGGATTTTCGAATCCGTGAAAGAGAAACAGAGTATTCGCAATACAAAAATTGTACGTATTTTAGTCGGTAATACAGGACTTTAGGACTGTGAAAATTTTTTTCGATATCATAAACCCAAAATAGAAGAAGAAAACAAAAGAAAAAAATAGCAAAAATTTGCAAAAATTTTCAATTTTTACTTTTTGGCATATAATTTTGTTTTTAAATTGAGTATTGTATGCCAATTTTTTTTACACCACAGTTGATTACAATTTTTTGTGTATATGCTATCAACGTCAGCAAGGATGTGGTGCAGGATCTTTTATCATACGACAGGCATGAGCTCATTCTTCGCTGACTTTCAGTGGGTTTAAAGTTTGTCCATATCACCGTTTTATCTAAAAATATACTCGTTTATACCATGTAATCTTGCGGTATCAGCAACTAATAGAAATAGACACAGATAAGCTGAAACGCAAAGTACTTGATTTTTTTTTATTGTTTCGTAAAGCATGTGAACTTCAGATATAAACGAAAAGAAATGTATAGATATGATAAACGAAGATCAGATATAAACGCTAGAATACTGACAAACTTTAATACCAGATAATATTTTAAAGATGGCCTTGCATAAATTTTATTTCATATTTGTAAACTTAACATATTTGTAAGCATAACTGCATTGTAATACGTCATATTAATTTTTTTAATTTTTATTTTTATTGCCTGCACACTAAAAATGAATTTCTATTTTATGATATAGCATGTAATTCAGATAAATACTATTGAGTAAAATATAATTAAGTAAAAACATATTTTTAATGTGTAATATATTGGTTTTGATTTATAATTGCAATAAAAGAAAGTTTCAATAACATAAAATTAAAATGTTGGGAAATCCAAAATATTGGGAAACCGAAAAAAATGTCCAACTTGCCGACGGAGAAATTTGGGTAGGTCCCGTAAAATAGCCCACCGTGTATATATAGAGAGAGACTAAAATAATAAAAATTATTTTGTAATTAAAGGCTACGAGTCGCAACTAGATGACAAGTGTTGGAAATCAATCTAATATTTAATGATTAAATTAGAAGTACATAAAAACATATAAAAACATAACCATACGTCTCAACCCCTATCGGGTCATCCTCAGTGTACAATTTAATAAAACTAAATAAACTTGCAGTCCTTATCTCCTTCCTAATTAATTGGTTTTTCTTCTTTCCTTTCCACTACCACACATGTTCCCCTTCTACTATATATTCTTCAACATAATATCTTTGTCTTTTGTCCATACTCATTGTTAAATCGTTTGAAAATAACGTACTTGATATAATTATTCTATTTTAATATCTCGGTAATTGTGAACTTATTGCAATTTGGAAATACTGGTCAATCAAAGGTACAAATAATTTATATTTAGATTGATTTAAGTTATACAATATGGTCAAATTATATAATATTAGTCAATGGTTATTTTAATTTAGATATGTACTAAGAATGCTTTTAATCTTGAAATTGCAATAGGTGAATTGAATTGCGTTACTGTTTGCAACAATCGAAGGATGGAGAAGGAAGAACATCAGGGATATGGATATAAATTCCAAATTCGATAATAGTGGTGACATCTCTTTGGTTTAGTTTTTACATTATATTATATATATCATTCTGTCTTATTCAAACGCATACATCTGTTCTTATCTAACATATGTCAGCACCATCTATCGCAAGACCGCGCATCTACTGCTACATGGAATTTCGGCTCTGTTGACAGTCCCAGTCTTCGCAAAGCACCTGTACACGTATTTTCTATTCGGTGGAAATATTTCTTTTCTAGACTTTCAATCTTAGTTCTACAAACTCGGTATCATTCGTTTCAATAATAACCTCAGCTTATTTTCAAAATATTGACTCTAAAACTCTTATATCAAGCAAATATATATCTGAGGTGACAACTGTACGAGCCAAAAGTAAGTGAATTTTTAACGAATTTTAAACTATTTTTTCAATTTTCTCATGAAATCCAGTGCAGCTGAGGTCCTGTTTGTGCGTACTTTAATTTAAGTAATAATACTTTTGCAATCCGTAC